AAATCTCGTTGTACTGCAGCCGTTTGGCTTTTATACGATATTCATGTTGGCACAGTCCACGAGACTTCCTCCCTCGTTTCGGGTGAAGAGGTATAGTGTTCTTGCTTTAGTGTTAACGTGAGAATTTTACAAGAATGACACCCAGCTCTGATGATGTCCATCATATGATGGGCGAAAGCTCAGCATGTTTTCACCCGAAACGAGGGAGGACGTCTCGTGGACTGCGTCAACATGAGTATCGTATAAAAGCCAAACGGCTGCAGTACAACGATTTTGATCCGTCCTCATCTGATGAGATCGACAAACGAATCTCTTTTTCATGCACCTTCATTCGAAATGAAGGTCCTTCTGACAATATTATCTCAGGAGATTCATCGAAACCAACTTTATCATCGTATCTACCAATATTTAGCCGGCTTCGATGTGCATAAATGTTGCTAACCTCAAGAAAGGCTCACTTTAGCCATATTTGCAAACCCTAAATTGGCAAAAAAACTAATATTTGGCCCATCCAAAGTATGGCGGACTATTCGAGTCGTTAGCTAGAAGGCTTTGAAGCCTTCGAAATGAAGGTCCCTTTAATAATAGTTTTGAGTTGTTGCATTTTGCGTGCATGCATTGCTTATGAGTTTGGGAGTGTGTGAGAGCACTAACCATATCCTCCTGCTCCTATTCTTTCTCCCTAATCCCATCGAACAATCACAAATATCTCCTTGCCTTTGTCGTCTTCTATGGACTGACTACTCTTCCTATTACGTGTATAATCTTCATATCTTACGAAGCATGTGGCTTTAGACCGGTCTCGAGGATTACTCTCAACTAATATAACTAGCACCGTCTATTGGTATGGTAGGTTCAAGCCAGCAAGAATGTTCCAGTAAGGCTAATCGACAGTTGGTCATGAATAATCCATCGTCGTCTTCTGGAGGGATCGATCTTCGAATCTCTTCACCAAACAGTTTCACTCAAATTAGAAGTAAGCTCAACAATTATGAACCAAGCTATTCATTGAAAGTCAACTTTTTTCGCAGCGAATAAGAAAGCCTTTTATCTGAAAGGGCTGAAAAAACTTCCCTTGCATCCTTCCTTCTACTCATTCCACTTTGGGGAGTTCAACTATTAATTCCCATCTAAATTTACGCGACTTCGGATGATTAAGGCTCTTTTCGGAAATAGCGCAAATTCAGCTTGATCCAAGCCACTTCTATGGGAAGAATTTGAGTAGCCTACTTCATGCTATGTCCGCTGTCAATAGTATCATGCTTCCCTCTAACTTAATATTTCAATTGCTTTGTATTCGAAAATATCAACGAAAGACTCATGCTTAGCATCAAGCATCAACCTGCTGAAATTGTGGGTCAAGATATTCGCATTGAGGAGTACTTATTTCCGATATCATAGTTTTCCTCCTTCATTGTGCTACATCACCTATCATACCATTTGGCTCTGTACTATCCACTTTAAAGGTTCCCTGTAGACTTATTTCAGTTGCGAAAGGTTTCGAGATCTTTACAAATGGCAAATGGAAGGGGTGGTCGAATGGACCAGTAGTTGGCCGATTGTGATTCTGCTACTGACTAAACTCTTCTCTTTTACTCACTGTCTTGCACAATCTTGCTGTCGGATGCAAAGAAAAGGCTCGTCTTTCCGGAGGTGTCTGTTTGGTGCACTGCCAGGCCGGTGTGTCGCGATCCCCGGCCCTGGTCATTGCCTACGTGATGGCCAGCTCACATTTGGGACTTCACGAGGCCTACCAATTTGTGCGTCTTCGGCGTGCAGTGATTTCGCCCAACTTTGCCTTTCTCGGCCAGCTTGCCGAGTTTGAGGCAGATCTGGCGGCTGGCAGAGCCAAGCGAGTCGCTAACCGTCTCCCCACCGACTGGCTGGTCCCTTGTGCCGGCTGTTGCCTGCGTCTCAGAGAGTCTGACATCTGCACCGGCGTCTCTAGGGCAGGTGTACCAGGCGCAGATAGGTCGGGTCAGCCGTTTGACCGCTCATTGGCGCCCTGGAACTGGCTAGTCTCTAGGCGGAGGCAGCAGAGGTTCTGGTGACTTGGACGTCTTCAAAACCGAATTCAGAAGTAGCCCAATCGAGAGCTGGCTTGTGGAGGCCGGCGAAGCTGCCTTAAGCTCTCTCCTGAAACTTGGCACATGGGCCTTTAATTCTGGCAGGTTGCTACTGCATCGACGCCAAGGCAACGTGTTTTAGGATCAGTCATTTCCTTACGTTTTTTTCATCTTCCCGACCGCGACAAAACCGCCTTTAGACCTCAGATTCTTCCAGATTCACTGGTCTCTTCTCTCGAGTGTGATTCACATCAAGAAAAAAATCTTGAATAGCGATTTGAGCTGAGACCAATTTGTTAGTGTCAGCCAATTGCTGTACTTGCTAGACTTCCATATTTCAAAACAAGCATGGCATTTGAAGTTGCTAGGCCTAACCTACATATCCTGATTGAACCATGACAAAATATATTTTTAAAATATCAGTATTTATATTTATAAGGCTTAACTTTTCTTTCAATGAATCATCCTGAGATAGCATTGTTTGTGTGATCAGTCGATCTCATTAGAATACGATAGCCGTTTTTATTCACTCTGAAATTCACAAATTCGACGAGCCATCTTTTCGCGGTCAAAGGAAAATGGGCCGAGCTAAGAGAGTGTATTGAAGTGGATAGATTAGGTAGTATAGAATGGGGATAGGAAGATAGTTGGTAATTGGTAATGCACATGTGTTGAGGGCGGCAAAAATACGGCGACCTAACATTCTATTCACTTATGGCCATAACCACAGTCATCTTCATTCCACACGCCTATTAGGCTCATCAACTCAACCCCACCTACGTTCAGGTTCACATGCTCAAAGCCATGACTTCTCTGGATAATTACATTTTGAATACACTGGATTGGCGTTACGTTCTGGTGGTGTCTTGCCCTGTATATCCCACAACCAAGGAAGTACTTACTTTACTCAAAATCATAATACAACCCAACGAATCCAGAGCAACGGAAATCAGCCGTCGTCTCTTTATTTCGATCTTCAAATTTCTTAATCAGGCACCTTCGCTTGTAATGCAAATCACTAAAACATCGTTATTCCTTGATTATTATTCGTAGATTTCAAAGCTACTAGTACGTCTTGAATAAGGGCTGTACTCATCCTGTGTCACATAAGGTGATGAAGGACTGATAGTCGAATTTTCCCACAATGATAAACATCAGCCTCACATTTTCACCGCGCCATGAGATATTGTTGTGTGGTGGTAATATGTTGAAATTATGCAATGCACTAACCGAATACAATTCT